CAAATTATTTCGTTACCCCCACCGACGCAGCCCCAAACAGTTTCTTTAGAAACTATCAGCCTTTATTCATTTGTATTTTAGCTTTAGTTTGAGTCCTCTTGAGATACTGACTACTGTCCTCAATGGTAGATAGAACTCACTTTGATTGAGTGTCGAAAGTGATTTGGGTTTGCTTTGTTTTTGCTTTACTTCGCCCTGTGATTGGCCCAGAAAATTCACCTCACTCTTTCAACCAAACAGATGCAAAAATAAAACCAATCAACGTTTCCCGCACTTAAGGCAGTTTGCTTGTTTTAACGTTACATCATAAAATAATAAAGCTTTTCAGCATTAGCTCTTTAAGGTATTCTTTCCTTTCCTCTGATTGGAAGGAAAATCATATCTTTGTCACCTATGGGAGAGAAAGGGTCTAGTGATGAGTTAACCAGGCTTTGTTACCTTCCATGTGATGGGTGTCCTGTGAACTCTTCTTCTCAGATGGTAAACCTGTGCCTCCACCTCTCCAGTATGGATTCAGTTCTTTAGCATGCTGTCCTGGCTATGAGTGCCAATAAAATACATCACCATTTCTTAACTGTCAGCATTTCTTAAAATACATCACCATTTCTTAATTGTCAGCATGATCCAAATGGTTTCAGTTTAAAATGAATTCAAACTAGTTAGACTTCAGTCTTTTTAAGGATAGCCGTTGTACAACCTAAGTACTTTCTCATAAGTTTTGGAATTTTTGTATTTCTATTAATTCGTTTTCTCTTTTCTTTTCACATTCTCCTCGGAAGCAGTTTTTGTCATTGTTTTTCATCAGTTGCACTTCCCCTTGTTTTTAACTCCAGTTTCCTTTTGGCATTAACACCTTTTTTCAGCCAGCTTCTTTAGAGGTCACACTTAGCACAGTTGTCTGCTTAAGAAGTCTTTGCCTTAAAGTTATTTGTGGTCACATTTTTTTGGGAGTTATGAAATCAATGTTCGCATTTTTACATATACTTTACTTATCTTTCATTTACACTGTAAGTTTTAATCTGTTATCTTGTTAGCTGGTTTTCGTGATATAAAGTTCAATGTTAAGAAGATATTGTCTTGCTTTTGCTGTTACAATGGTCAGTGGTATTGTATCTTGAACATATTAAGTAAATACCAATCAATCCTGTTAGAAACCATTTTTTTCCTGAAATTCCATTGTTATCATTTTCACCAAAGCTTTTCTACATCTAACCTATTCCTCGCCTTCTAGTACCTTTTTACTCTTTGGACAATTATATCAAGTAAACAGGAGTATTTAAATGGAAAAATGAAGAATCTTTCTTTTACCCTACCCGATCCATGCAAGACAGAGCTTTTGTTTTGCCATCATCTTTACTTTCCTTATCTCCTTCTTCTTCTTCTTCTTCTTCTTCTACCAGATGCACAGGATCCTGGGAGCTTGACGTAACTGGCGGACACAGCATCCAGCTGTCACGCTGCTGTTGCATTACCTTTTGTGAATGAGAATACAGGTAACTCCTTGATGTTTTACACCCTAACATCAGTATGCATATTCTCCATACTGTTCCCTATACATTTCCTAATGTTCCAACAAGGAGAATTTGTTTTACCAAACTAGAGCCTCCTCCTTCATTTCTTTCACTTGTTCTGCAATATCTATTCCTTCACTCAACCTTTGACATCTAAATCCAAATAAGGCATTTTATTTTTGTTTTAGATTCCTTCACAGCATCAGTCAAAATTAACTTTTAATGTCCATTAGTTCAGAATTTATTCTAAAAAAATCACATCAAATTTACAATACTAACCTGAACTTCACCTGGTTTTGATGATGTGACAGAGTCAGTTGTTTCTTTTTCAACCCAATCATCCCCTGACTCCTGCAGACAATTAACAATTAATAGACAAGGAAGAGCAAAATGGGGAGGCGTGATGGCCTCATGGTTGGTGCGCTCGACTCCGGATCAAGTGGTCCGGGTTCGAGCCCCGGCCGGGGACATTGTGTTGTGTTCTTAGGCAAGACACTTTACTCTCACAGTGCCTCTCTTCACCCAGGTGTTTAAATGGGTACTGGCAAATTTAATGCTGGGGATAACTCTGCGATGGACTAGCATCCCAACCAGGGGGGAGTAGAAATACTCCTAGTCGCTTCATGCTACGGAAACAGGAGTTAAGCACCAGCCTGATGGGCCACTTGCTCATAAACAGACTTTGAAGAGCAAAACATTGCAATTTGACAATGGTGAGCTTATATGTTATGTGCAGGTGATATGGTTGACTGCCTACTAAGGAAGAATAAAAGAAATGATGTGAAGGACACTTACTGAGGCTGAGGACACATTTTCTTTACTGGTATCTTTCTTCTGCTTCTTGTCCTATAATGAAACAGAACAAGATGTATTTTAACTGGTCACAGAATAGTGAAAAACAAAAAAAAGCACACACACTAACGTTAGCCCTTCTTCACAGCAAATGGAGGTACTGTGGGTTGTGTGTGTGTTTTTATGCAAAAAGTGGAGCTACGCTGTTGGTGGGAACATGGTGACAAGAAAAACAAGAATGAATTAGTAGAATGAAAGGTGTTCGTTGATACCTATGGGATTAATAGTGCTGATTTGAAAGATAAATTTTTGTTCAAGAGTTTTGTGGCTTTCTGAGCTACCTAAATATAAGGAAAGACCGCAGATTGTCATATACTGCTTGGAATGATTAGGTAACCTGCGTTTGGCTAAATGCAGAATAAGAAGCCTGTGCATGATGGGTCCTCACCTTCTTCTCCTTTTTGTCCTTCTTCTGCTTCTTCTCTTTCCTATGTTTCTTTTTCTTTGATTTATCCTTTCAAAAATATAACCATTATGTAGATTATCTAGATCACCCTTAAGAGTACTTGAGCAAAGAAGATTATTTTCTTCACTTACTGAGTGTTATAAGACAATAAATAGACTTAATGGACTTGATCCCTCAGCATTTTTCACGTTTGCACACGATTTTCGGCCTTTAAGAGCCAATCGTCATTTTAAACTTAAGTTTGCATCAGCAACCTTAAATAGTTTCAAATATTAATTTTTTATACACATAGTTAATAGTTGGAATAATCTGCCAAAGGAAATCACTGAGGCGGCAAATTTGAATATTTTAAAGAACAGACTGCAAAGTCACCTCGTAAATTTTGCTAAGTTCTTATTTTTCATGTATTATATATATAGTTGTATCTAAATTAATGTCATAATCTATTTTGTTATCAGGAGATAAACTAGAAAGGGATAACCTCTTTTATCTCCTTTTCACTTTTTACTGATTGTGAAAAAACAATTATTATTATTATTATTATTATTATTATTATTATTACTTCTAAATTGAATAACTTTGCTCTGTGATTGGTAGAGAAAACGTACTCCATCCTCTCAGGTAATCAGAGGTAAAAACTTGCACTAATCCCAACTTGGCCATATGAGTCCTTTGACCCTCTGCTGTGTATGTGCCACCAACCTCACAGAACCCCTACCTATTTTAGGCCATTTTTTGGCCAACTATGGACTCAATCTTAGTCACTTTTAGGCAACTGAAATTTTGGCAATTCAAAGGGTAACAGCATTCCAGAATTTTCTTATCTCCAAAATCCTGAAGATGTGCCATGACCCCATTCTTGTTACTCCTATGAAAATGTAACCCCACTATACTTAATGTAGTTGTGAAAATGCAAACCCACCTACCCTGCGAGCAGAGCCTTTTCTTCTTTTCTTCTTCTTTTTAACCCTCCAAGGGAAAAGGCTCTGCCGACATCCTGTTGTTGCTTTAAAATGCTGAAAGCCCAAAACTCCGGGCTAATCAAGCCGGTTTTGCCTCCAGTCAAACCAGTTTTGGTGCACACTCCTTTGTTTTTCATGTACACAGATGACCAAATCTGCACCCACAATAGTTCAAGGGGGGCTGGAAAAGGATCAGTTTCTAGGCAACCGCCGCGCATGTTCAAACGAGCAACAACAGGATGTCGGCAGAGCCTTTTCGATTCGAGGATGGGTTAAAAAGGCTCTGCTCGCGGGATAGAACCCACCCAGAGGCACGTCCCATTAGGCTTCATTGATACGGATTAAGAGGTGAATGGTGAGATCAAAAACTCTTTAGAGTTTTCTGAAGAAAACGAAAGCAGTTAGCGAGACAACAACTAAGTGCAATACCTTATCATTATGACTGTACGTGTCGTCCTCCACTGTCAAACTATTGCTTAAAGATGGCAACATCCACGAAGTCTCCCCACTCTCAATGCGCTTTTGTTTTTTCCACTGCTCTCTCTCATAGTCGCCTTTTGTCTGATGAAAGACAGATTAACTTTTAACATTGGTTCAACCGCTGTTTAACGCACTAGCTATACTGTTAATTTTAAAAGTACTCGTTAATATACACGATAGTTTTGCTGTGTAAGACATTTCTTCGCGACCGATTCAATTTTTTAATCCTTTATATTTATCAACCACCGGAGAGGCTTACCTTTTTGAGGATTTGCTCTCTTACTTTCCGCTTTTCTTCTTTTTTAGCGTCAATTTCCCTCTTTGAAATAAAGTTTATCAAATCCGCCATGTTGAATTTGAGTACGCTGACAAGTCTTCTGACTACTGATGGCTCAAGCTTGTCGTCGAAAGGAGTTCTGGGCAATCTGCTGGTTGGGGTCCAAAATGGCGGGTAGTTTGAACATTTCCCGCGAGCATAAAGAAGATGGAATTGTACAAATTTTAGAAGATGCTTTTACAATAAAGAAAATTGAAAACACCTATCGACAAATAAAAATTAAGGATGTATCCCAAGATATGGATTTTTCTACATGTTTTGTGAAAGGTAAAGATTCCGCTGTGAGTGCAAATTTTGGCTTGCAACTTGACATCCGTACTATTTATATACTCGTGTCTTAGTGCTTTTGTGCGCACTGAACAGCATTTCTTGAACACCTTTTTCACAGGTGTGTTGGTCACAGTGTACCCAAGTCTCCTGACATCCAAAGGCTTGGTGATGAAACTTTCTATCAAAGATGCGAGTTCTGGCCCTGACCCAGTAGAAGGCATCTCAGTCTTCCTGAGGGGAAAATTTGTTGAGAAGTGCAAGATAATGAAGGAAAAAGACGTGCTTATGATTACAGGAGCAAAGGTTGAAAGTTCACCAAGGGATGGTCATCAATTTGAAATCATTGGTGACGAAAAAAGCTGTAAATTTCTTAGAGTATGGGTTGTGCGAAATCCCAATTATATGTACACTGCTACTGGTGCTGTTGTTCAGAGACCTTTGTTTGGTACAACAGACTGTGCAGCAATTGGCAGTGTAAAAAAGACAGGAACTGAACCACCAAGCAAAAGAAGCAGGCTTATCCTACAACCTCAAATTGTTAAATATACAAAGCTGGCAGATATACGGGTTAACACCATTGTTAATGTATTTGGTGTGGTGAAGTTCTTTAAGAGCCCTTTCAAGACCAAAGGATCTGATTTTGTTTGCTCATTGAGCTTAGTTGATTCCTCTCTGGCTTCCCTTGAAGAAAGTTTTAAGTTGGTACTTTTTTCAAAGTCAAAGGAAAGGTTGCCATTCATTAGATCTATTGGAGACATTGTACGTTTTCATAATGTTGCTGTTGGCAATTTCAGAGGAGAGATGCAAGGAAAGTTCTTGCCTACATCAACTTGGTAAGTAATATTTCAAAAACGAGTGCGAGTGTTTCATCAGGATTTCCAAACACGAGAAAACTGATGAAAGCACGAGGCTGTAGGCTGAGTGCTTTTATTGTTTTCAAGTGTTTGAAAACCCTGATGAAACACGAAGCACGAGTTTTTGAAATTGCTTCTCAATCGTGCATCATTAGCCAAGAACAAAAAAAAGATTTTGACTGATTTTGGCATCAGTGGGGTTTGACATTTTATCAAGCTCTAGGGTTTGATATTTCATCAAAGTATAGTGGAAAAGCCTCTGTCCAGTGTTTCATTGGGGTTTCTAAACGGACAACGTGTGGCCAAATTGGCGTATCATGATTGGTTTGTAACTTGATGAATTATTAATGAGTTTGAGAAGCTTATTTTAGGAACACCAGGTCTTCATATCCAGCTGCTCTGAGAAGAGTACAAATGGCATGCAAATCAAGGCTGTTACATAATTACACACAGTCAAGGAATTTTGAAAACTGATTTTTGTGATGGCTGTGAATCTAGTTGACCTTTTATTTCTCTTCATCCTTTTTAGGCTTGTATTTGATGTAAATAGCACAGATAACTATCAACCTCAGGCATCATCATTGAAATCATGCAATTTGACAGAACAAGAAAAAGACGCAATCAAGGAATTACTATTGTGGGCATCACAGAAGGAATCTCTTAGCCAGAAGTTTGTCATTACTAATCTGAAAGACTTGAGTACAAGTCAGACATTTGTAAACCTTCTCTGCCAAGTTGTGTCAAAAAGTTACACTGAAGCAAGCAAGGGTGTCACTTTGACTTTATGGGATGGATCACTCCCTGCCTGTCAATCAACTTCAGTTGAACCTGTCAGTGAACAGGGACAACTTAAGTCAGATGAGCTCATTCGGAAGTCAGCAGACAAATTTGTGGAAGTGTTTCTGTATGACAATCATGTGGAAGGTGAAGTCAGAAAAGTCAGTCCTGGTGATTTGGTTTGCATCAGAAATGTTCATATCAAAGAGCTGGAAGCCGGTGCTGATAAAACAACAGATAAGCCTGAGGTAACATACCTGATTATTTGTTAACATTGTTTTGCTGTTATTTCAAAGCAATTAGATATTAATTTATAGGAAAATTTATTACTGGTCAAGGGAATTCCTATAGTTTCGTTGTAGGCAAAAACCAATATCATGAAGTTCACATTTCTCACAAAGTCATGTCCTGCGTACTGCTAGGAGTAGCAATGTTGATACTGTCATGTTTGTAAACAGAATAAGAAAGATGGTAAATTTTGAGCTTGGTAAAGATTAGGAGCAAAAGATTTGCATGTTAATTTGTAAACAAATTGTGCGTAAAAACATAAGTTTGTCTCGTTAAGTTTTGAGCAAAGAAATTAGTTTGTTTTAATTTGTTGTTTTGTTAGTTGGCGCTGTCTCGCCCTCATGTTAGTCTCATTGTACATGGAGGTACGATATGTGGGCGTGGCGTGGAGATTGTGTCAGTGAGCAATCCCATGGTCTCAGTAAGTTCGGTAATGAAGTTGATTGCTAAAGCAGAAGCATCAGCCACTTACCAGCATACAGCACAACAATCAGAAGGCACAGTTGATGTTCATGATGGGTCCAAAACAACTGACAGTTGTGAAATTCAACAAGAAAAGGATAATTTTAACAAACAGAGGGACAGTAAATCTTTGATCACAAATGAAGTAAACCGGGCACTTCAGACATCATGTACAATAACAGAGCACCCCTCTATTCCATTCAGTTCTTTGAAAGAGATCAAGACATGCAAGACTGTTCCGTACAAATTCCGCTGTAGAGTCAAGGCAGTGATGTATTTACCATCAGATGTGAAGTCTTTCACACAGCGATCTTGCCATTCTTGTAAATACTTACCTCAAGGAAGTACTAGTTCTGTTTGTTCTGCCACTGTCAATGATATCACCCCATGCTCTTTGTGTGGTCAGGAGATGACTCTTTCTTATTTGTTTTCGTTTGTTCTTGAGGATGATTCTGGCCTTCTCCATGCAATGGTCTTTGATAAGGATGCAAAAACCTTCTTTCCTGGTCTCCCACTGCCAGAGGAATTTTCAGCTCAGGCATCTCTTCAGGAAACTATCCAGGAATGGATGCTATCCATGACAAATAATCCAAATAACTCCATAGAATGTGTGAACCAAGATCCAAAGGGTGATAAAAGACCATGGTTAGAACTCTGCATATTTTCATATCTCCCTGATGAAGATTGCCAAAAGGTTCAGTATAGAGTATTTGATTCTACATTCGTTCATGACAATTGAAAAAGTACAGGAAAGACCCCTTTTACCATGCTATGTGACAGTTTTCTAATTAATCTTTCCATAACATTGCTGCAAAAATGCACAGTTTAACTTCGCATCGCATTAGCAGAACAATGGTCTATCCACAGTGGTTTGTTTTGTTGTTGATTTTTTTCCACTAACTTTGTAATTTTTCCTGAATATCTGAATGTAGACAGTAGAGGAACAGAGGTACGAGGGTAAAGTTCCTTATGATAATACCAGTGTTAAAGATTGTAAGCTAGAGTCACACTGATGTAACCTTCAACCTGTTGTGTTTCAAGTTTGCCAAAAATATCTGAAATTTCATTTTAGGCCTTGGATGTTAGCTGTACCCTTGGGCTTACATTTTTCATCATAAAAGCCATTTGTTTCTTGAAACAGACTTTGGCCATAGACAAATATATTTATGCAAATACATTGCAAAATTGATCTCATTCATCTCTGTGACCCTTTTCCACCCTAACATCAGTATGCATATTCTCCATACTGTCCTATATACATTTCCCTTGGTGGTGACAAGAATTTAACAATCAAGAGCTTCTTCATCTCATTTGTCTCTGTGAACCTTTTACACCCTAACATCAGTTTGCATATTCTCCATACTATCCTATATACATTTCCCTGGTGGTGACAAGGAGAATTTGTTTAACAATCAAGAGCTTCTTCAGTTGATCATCTCCTCTATTCTCATGACCTTCATGTTTGATTAGGGGTGATATTTTAAGGAGAAATTCGATGCCGCTCACTCTTAGGAGTCAAAGAGTTAATAATTAGTTCTTATTAACTGAGCGGGAGGTCTGTATAGGAGAATCTTGACAGAGGTCGCTAGTACAGACCGAATGAAGTGAGTTCTGTACCAGCAACCGAGGTCAAGATTCTCCTATACAGACCAACCAAGCTCGGTTAATAAGATGTTTATTATATGGCTGTGTCTTGTATGCCAATTTTTTATATTCTTTGCACCTTTTTTTCTAGACTGGTCTAGATGGGAAAATCTAGACCGCTTTCAATATTGATTTCAGCCAATCAAATTCCTGAATTTGGTAGTTCCCAGTCCTTGTGAGACACAGCCATATAATAAATATGCGATATTAACCAAGTGTGAGGTCAAGGTGGCTGGATATTGGCCAAGGTTTTTTTTTGCATTTTTATGGACTGAGATGAAGTTGAGGCCCATAAAAATGCGAAAAAAGAATAAGGCTAATATCCAGCCAACTTGGTTAATAAAGGATTTATTATTTTTTTTTTTTAATGTAAATTTTCAATTTATTAATTGAAATTATCACTTCATTCTAGCCACACCCTTGGGTTATGGTAGTCCATTTAGTATGGGGTAGCAAGGCACATACTCTGGGATGAGTGCTACTGAATGTCTGGTATACTCATGTATGAGATAATTTATCACATAAAAATGCAATGATGAGTAACATGAACATAATAACATGACAAGCCTTGAGTTTCTGACAGTACCTGTCCATCTCTCCACGGAGCCAAACAGTGGTCACCCTTCTTCCAACCCACCTGAAAAAAGGGGAAAAAAGAAAAAAAATTCAATATTTCAAAAGAATTAGCCCAGATGCTCTTTGATAAAAAGAAATGAACAGTATTGTTATTCTCTAAGAGCAGGCTTGATGGCAACTAATGCTATCTACTGGAAAAATTTTTATCCCTTGGATAGTGCAGTACACTAGTGAACACTTGTCCATTGGATAGTGATTTATCCATTAGATAGCATTATTCATCTTTTCCAAGAATTATGAACATAGTTCTAATTCTATTTTTCCATGAATGGGATCAATGCAGGCAATCCTGAGCGGGCAAGATAAGCCCATCTTGCTTGTTTGGGTAGCCAATCAGAACACAGAATTTGCTTCATCTTGCCCACAGGTGCTGCACACAATGTAATAATAGTAGATAAAAGGGCTGGTTCATGAGTTGGATATTATTTAACTCCTGCAGCATTACAGAAAGAAAATTTTAGATTGCAAATGAGGTGTAAAGAATATTTTCAATTGGTAATGAACTTTTCTATTCCTTCTCTTTATTCAAATTTATTGCCAAATAGCAACATAACTGAAATATAGTCAGCTAAGATGCATGACTAACTCATGTGTTAGCAGAAATGATAAAAATAAACATAAAGCAGACAGCTACAGACCTTGAGCAAATATTCAAGCCATTGACTCAATTCCAAAAAAATTTACAAGTAAAACATTGTTTCATGGCTCATAAATGGCAAGTACAGAAAAAAGTATCGCCTAATTGGTTTAAAATTACAGGTTCTCCTTCGTTAGTTTATAGTTTAATAAAATGCGCACAGTAGAGTAAAAATATCACAAATTTTCAGATTTGATAAGAGCAATATCTACTTACTGTCATTCACATTTTTACAATATGTTGTAAATTCTTAATCTTTGTTATTCCATTAACAATATACATGAAAAATTTCTCAGTTCTGATTGGTTAAGATGAATGCAGTTTTCAGTTAATTCAGTGCAGAAGAGAATTAATCCAGTGCAGAAGAGAGTCAATTCAGTGCAGAAGAGGGTTAATTCATTGCAAAGAAAGAAACAAACCAGACATTCTGATTGGTCAGAATGATTGGTCAATGTCACTTGCAGGGTTTGAATAAATTATTTTTGCACGTGTTGCGCACGCTTCTCTTCTGCGTAGTTATGAGAAACTAGCTCGTATTTTTTCATGTATATTATTAATAGATAATCACATGATTTTCTCCTGCAATTTGGAATAAATAAGCACTCGTAAATTTTTTCAAAGACCACAAATTGCACTCGCCCTATGGGCTCATGCAATTTTGTTAGTCTTTGAAAAAATTTACTCGAAATCATATGATTACCTATACTAATAACGCTGTCTTGGGTGACTAATTTCATTCATTTTTTCAATCACATTATTTTATAATATGAGACAAAGAGAGAAATGTCTTACTATTTCTCCATCAATAAATATAAATACTAGAAAGTGAATTGTGTAATACCAAGACCCAACAGCCTTACAANCCAACAAATAAATAAACAAACATTAAAATAAAAAAAATACAAAAATCTATTTGGAGACTAATGATATACATGAAAAAATTTCTCAGTTCTGATTGGTTAAGATGAATGCAGTTTTCAGTTAATTCAGTGCAGAAGAGAATTAATCCAGTGCAGAAGAGAGTCAATTCAGTGCAGAAGAGGGTTAATTCATTGCAAAGAAAGAAACAAACCAGACATTCTGATTGGTCAGAATGATTGGTCAATGTCACTTGCAGGGTTTGAATAAATTATTTTTGCACGTGTTGCGCGCGCTTCTCTTCTGCGTAGTTATGAGAAACTAGCTCGTATTTTTTCATGTATATTATTAATAGATAATCACATGATTTTCTCCTGCAATTTGGAATAAATAAGCACTCGTAAATTTTTTCAAAGACCACAAATTGCACTCGCCCTATGGGCTCATGCAATTTTGTTAGTCTTTGAAAAAATTTACTCGAAATCATATGATTACCTATACTAATAACGCTGTCTTGGGTGACTAATTTCATTCATTTTTTCAATCACATTATTTTATAATATGAGACAAAGAGAGAAATGTCTTACTATTTCTCCATCAATAAATATAAATACTAGAAAGTGAATTGTGTAATACCAAGACCCAACAGCCTTACAACAACATAAAAGCAAATTAAGTAACATCATTACATTATTTAGGAAAAGACAAAACTTCTTTTTTTGTGGATACATTTGGGAATACTTTGAGCTACAAGCTGATATGTGAAATAACTGGACATAATTGTAAGACTAGGAAAAGCTGCTTTTCCTTAGTATTAATGAAAAAAAAAAGCCTCTGTCTGTGACCAAATTTCATGAGGGAATTTTAGCCTGCAGTACAAAAAAATTCTTGGCACATGAACTCTCGCAATTTCAGGTACCCAGTGGCAATCTTGGTCATTGAAAATGAGCAACATGGCCTTTGTAGGAAAAGAGGTCTGGGTGAGGGAAAGCAAACTACAATACAACTGGTAAATTTGTTTTTTAAAATTCAAATGCACAAACTTGCTTCATATTCCCACCATGAACACTTAGGACTAAAATAAACAAAGCCCTCACAGAGAGAACTTCTCTTTATCAAATATTTAAAATATCAGGTTGAAAATGTTACAAAACAATTGGCTCCAGAGTCAGCTCTGCATTGATAAAATTTGGAAGCACTTGGAAAGTTTGAAGAGCACAAAAGAAGCTAACGTTGATCCTAGTTTGTACCACATGCACCAGCAACACTTAACTCATCTTTCATGCTCTCCATACTTTACGCATTCTTCATGTCCCAGTTAGATGAGGAAGCCATTTCCTTGAAACCAACAATTTTTGGCTCTAACTCTGTGTTGCTCATTTCCACTGACCAAGAAAATTGAACATGTGAAATATTTGGCCACCATGTTAGATTGCTAATACAGAGGAAAAGTTGAGAAAAGAAAAGCATTCACCTCTACTGCTCATCAAACAAGGTGGCTCCATTACTGGTGAGCTTACAACACCCACTTGCTCAACCTTGGAAGATTTATCACTGCAGGCTATAGAAGCCTCTCAACCAAATGTTTCCAATAATGGTGTCCCACAACATTTTGATGATCAGATTACTAACATACAGTCGATACCCTAATTAACCTAAAATTTACCACATTTGACACATCACATTCATTAGAACTAGAAACTCCATACCATTAGTAATTAAAAAGTAACATTGCTATGCTTACAATGTAAGGCTGGTTTATACAGTAAAGTTTATTGCAGAAGCTCAGTTACATACAGTAAACCACAGAGATTAAATTGTAAACTTTGTTCTGGAGAATAGAGTCAGGAACACTGCCAGCACAATAGAAAATTGAAGCAAGTTTCCACCACTGCTGACCTAGCTTCATCCTATATCATCTTCCAAATAAAATTTCCAATCATTGTAATATAAATTTCAAAATAAATTTTTTCCTGTGCTTTTTTTTTCCAGAAAATTGATGCCTTAATGAAATCCACTTGTATTAAATCAACAAATTTCACTAGTTTGCTCATCAATTTTGCAATATCAGCCATGCGTAGAATTATTTGAAATAAAAAATGTAAAATCAAGTAAACCCTATAAATTGCTATGTCTTTTTTGTTGACAAGCAAAGAAATCAATCCATTGCTTGGCCATCCAAAACATTCTCTCGCTATCACATAAAAAGGTTAGTTTTTTTTTTCTTTTACTTTAGCTCAGTTTCACAGTGAAAAGCCTTCATTTGATATGTCTGGACCCAGGCCTGTAATACTTGTTCACTTACATGTAAACTTTTTTTTGAGAAAAAAAAAAAGCCTTGTATTTTTAATTGCTGTGTTAACCCTCTAACTCCCAGAAGTGATTAACAAGTAACTTCTCCCCCTAATATCCATACAATATCCAGCAAACAGGTAATGAGAATAATCAAACTAAAAAGGTATAAGTTCTCTTGATCTAACACTAAATTCTTACAACTAATTTAAGAAGGAATGTGTTAGAGCTAGTTGGGAGAATTGAAAATCAGATCATGGGAGTTAAAGGGTAAAAGAAGTCCTCTTGCACAACTGAAAAGCTTTCCTGTGATGAATTCATTAATAAAGGAGAAAAGTGAAATGGAAGAGGTTGACCTCAGAAAAACTTTGTCCTCCTTTTCTACCCCTCTCTATTTTTGAAGTTTACCAGTTAGCCTCAACTTAGAGGGTGAATAATGCTATCTACTGGAAAAAGTTTTATCCCTTGGATAGTGCAGTACACTAGTGAACACTTGTCCATTGGATAGTGATTTATCCATTAGATAGCATTATTCATCTTTTGAACAATCAGGGACTGGTTTTTTGACTTGGTTTAAACACGAGGATAAAGGCCATTGTTCTTGCAAAGGGCTAGGGCTCAAAAGGGCCATTCAAAATTCACTAAATTGTTTGCCTACTTCTATCAAGTCTCATAATTACAATATAAAGTTAATATTTTTTTAGCAATTTTACCTCGGAGGTGGTTTTATAAACTTAATGAAATCTTGCAACTGCCATAAGCCCAGGTTAAAATAAAATCCACATCTCCTTTTCCTAATAAGATTTTCTAATTTTAAGCTTCACCTACTCACCCCTTACTACTGGATAAATATTTCACATTACCATTAAAAACAAAGGTGACTCCTCAAAATACAGGTAGTATGCACATCAACTACATTAACCAGATCTTCTAAAGCGAGAAAATGTTATTTTATTTTACTAAATATTAATTAAATTTTCATATTAGAGATTATTTCTACACCCCAGTTGCTTGAACAGTGGAAAATGTTACTCACAGAATACATTGCCAGCCAGAAAAGATACTACAAAGCTATCCACTACAGGGAACTGCATCCCCCGGATGACATTATCCACTTCAAACTAACAGTCCTTGAGGCCCAATAAGTGCTTTGCAAGATTTCATGGTCTGACTACCCTTTGTCTTTGAATTTCTGTTGTCTGGGTGGAATATAGTAATTTTGTGTAGCTCTATTTGGCCGTCTTGGTTTGGAATAACCACTTGAATTTGGACTTGACCTTCCTCTGCCTGCCTCTGGAATGCTGTTGTACACATCTAGGGAAAATGATGAGAAAGTCAATGTTGGCCTTGCGAACAGGTGATGAATATATAGAACTCTTTGTCACAAAGACCAATATAACATAACCAAATTAAAGCACATGCTTTGATTGGTCAATTCAGTGTCTACCATTTGCCCATGGGTGTATGCTGCTGATGTTAGCAAATGTAATCACGACTTTTCATGCACTTGTTTTTTTTCTGGTCATGAAAGATTTTGGTGTTAGCTAAAAGGGAACTCTTGCTACAAGGTATCAATGTTATGAAACAAATGGTAAACATCACAGCGTACACTATTGAGTTATGGATGCACTTGGGAAGTTTGTTAAGCACTCAAGAAGCTAGAGTTGCTCTCGGCTATTGCCTCACACGACTCTAATGCTTCTTTTGTGCTTAGCAATCTCCCAGTTACATCCACAACTCAATAGTGTACTCTGTGGTGTTTACCATTTGAACCAGTCAGAAACAGTAATGGTGTGATATCTTAAGTTACCATTCTCATCTTAACCTTTAGAGCCATAGAATTTCTCCTTGTCATTTGGGAATCACACATTTAAGTCATGAGAATAAAAGAAAGAAGCAAATAACAACCATTCTGACCTTGTCCTTGTGTGTCCTTTACACCCCTGACAAAATGTACCCCAGTTGCTGTAGCTACACCATAACCTGCCTGAGCAGGTGCCCCTGTGGTTGACTGAGGCACAGCCCCATAATGCACTATTGGCTGGAAAGCTGCTTGTCTAATGTCTTGGTACTGGACCTGAGCAGGCTGCCATTGTACCTGAGCAGGGACAGGGGTAGAATGGACAATGGTGGGTCGGGTCCCAGCATGGAAAGGGGGCTGACCTGTCACCGGGATCATTACCTGGGGTCTGGTCACTATGCCAACTGGTGCCCCCTGTGTGTAGTATGGCACTGTGGCCACGGCACTTGCTGGTGGAGGCTGTGTGTTACTACTTTCTCCCTGAAAAAGAAAAAATCAGAAATACAATACTGACACTAGAATTTTAATTATAAAAACAACATATACTTATGAGATGTTTGTGCAATTTGCAAAGTTCATTTGACATATCTTTTCAATTAAAAGTTAATCTGGTTGTCTAGACATCAAGCAAATTTTACTTAAGGATTAAAAAGTAAGTCAATTTGTGTGTTTTGGTTCAGTTTTTTGGTTTTCTTATAGGGAACAAATAATCATTAAACTTGTTTTTTTTTTCTTTTTTTTTTTGGCCACATCACTTTGTGGAAATCCCTTCCATTAACAAAAGTCAACATGAAAGAGGATTGGATTTTGAGAATACCCTGAAAACATGAGGCAAGTTACAGTGCAAGTACTGTATTTATTAGTATAATTATTTCAAGTAGTGATTAAAATATGACTTCTTAGAGTATCAATATATAATCTATCGATCATCAAACAGCAAGAGGGCATAGTTCACTTAAAGTGACAATCAATCAGATGGTTTTTTTTTTTTTTTACCTACCCAGGCAATTATTGGAAAAGGCCTTAGAGATGAGAGAGGTACAACATCACAACTATTGTGAAAATCCAAGAAAGAAACCACACAATTGACACCATCACCCATCAGTTCCTCCATCTTGGCACTGTAATACTGAATATATTAAATGATTAGTATATTCATGGTTAGTTAATGATTAGTATATTCATGGGTCACATTCAGGCTTTTTTTTTCCTTTTTTTTTTTTTTTTTTTTTAATGTAAATTTTCAATTTATTAATTGAAATTATCACTTCATTCTAGCCACACCCTTGGGTTATGGTAGTCCATTTAGTATGGGGTAGCAAGGCACATACTCTGGGATGAGTGCTACTGAATGTCTGGTATACTCATGTATGAGATAATTTATCACATAAAAATGCAATGATGAGTAACATGAACATAATAACATGACAAGCCTTGAGTTTCTGACAGTACCTGTCCATCTCTCCACGGAGCCAAACAGTGGTCACCCTTCTTCCAACCCACCTGAAAAAAGGGAAAAAAGAAAAAAAAGAAAAAAAATTCAATATTTCAAAAGAATTAGCCCAGATGCTCTTTGATAAAAAGAAATGAACAGTATTGTTATTCTCGAAGAGCAGGCTTGATGGCAACACTCCAAGCTAAAACGGTTTTGTTGGCCATGGCAGCAAGAAAAATTCTGGTGACTTAATTTGGAGCTAAAGTTTCCAATTTGTTTGGCAATCATGTCTTAAGCTTCATTGTTGATATTACTAAATGTTTAGTGAGATATCTTTTTTCATGCAATACTATCAATGCTCCATTGTTTTCTTCTATAACAAATAGCAGATAATAACCTCTGTCATGATAACAATTAGTTTGAATTCAAGGCAAGGGGTGTTTAAACAAGAAAAGATCAATGCACTCCACAAATTGCCATTACCTGTTGCGCTGGCATTTGTGTAGCTACTGGCTGCTGCGGCATGGCTGGCTGAGGTGCCATCGCCTGGTGGGTCATCTGAGGTGGCCGCAACTGGTACACAGGATATGCCTGAACTGGGGGCTGTGCCTGTTGAGTATACTGGTATTCCTGTGGTACACCAATCTCAGCCTGTTCCCTTCCACCCTGCTCCACAAACTGTTGAGGTTGATTGACAACAAACTGAGCCTGTGCCCGCTGTGACTCCATTGCCATGGTAACAAACTCAATGTGCTGCTGTTGCTGTTGTTGTACATTAGGAGGGGTGAAATTTGGGGGTCTCAGCTGCTCAGATCCTTGGCGATAGTTTTTTTGCCACTTGCCTTGTGCAGCATATGGCTGACTGGTGTATGAACCACCCTGCTGGTCACGAAACTGAACTGTTTGTTGATGGTGGCTTGGAGAGTCCTCGACAAATTCAGGGTTAACAGTTGCTGCACTAAACCTTACAATGGCATCATCTTCCTGTGCCACAGAAGGTGGGCTGCCTGCAGCAGCATACTCAACTTCAATACCATCACTATTCACATCTGTCTCTTGTTTATGACCGTGCTGTTGATAATGTTGATGATGATGATGATGATGCTGTTGTTGTTGCTGTCTTTGCTGTTGTTGTTGCTGCTGTTTCCTTTGCAGTCGAGGTGGTAAACTTTGGTTGTATGGCCTGGAATCATGATCATGCCTTCTAGAGCCTTTTCCTTTTGCCTGCCCAGGATTCTGCTGTTGCTTGTAGTAAGGTTCCCGTTGTTGTCTGGACTGTTGTCTTCCATCTCTGCTCTGGGGTGAGGATTCTTGTTTTGACTTCTCGATCTCTCTGGGGGTAGTATGGTCACGCTGTACATCAGTTTGCTCTTTGCTTGCAGGAGGAACATTCTCCACTTTTTCAGCTCTTGAATCTTGCTTTTGTTGCTTAGGCTTTTCCGTATCATTTTCTTGTTGGGGTGGTGGTCTTGGGGGAGGGCTCTCCTGGTGAACTTCATTTGTTTTTTTGTTTTCATTATATTTTTGTAGCCTTGGATTTGTGGAATCTGTGAGCGAGAATCCAAATTAAAATATTAGGAAAGACGAAACCCCAAATTGCTTCAGAAAGATAACTCATACTTCATCTAACAACATTCTTTGCCAATACAGTGACCTGACCAAAAGCTTGCACCAGCCATTCAGTCTTTGAGTAAACCACAAATTTATTGTTTTAACATAGCAATAATTACAATTTTATTTTGAGCTTATGTAGCATAACAGAGGGAAATTATTAATCAAAATTAGTTAAAATTTACAAAGTTAAAACCAATCATAGCATGAATCTCAGAAAACAGTGAGCAGCTATCAAAAAGTTTAATTTTCTGGAACATTATTTTTTTCAAGAGAAACAAACCCAATCAAGAAAGAGAAACTTAAATGTACACAGAATGCAAGTTAGTGGAGGTTTTACAGTTTGCTCACACATTACAGGTGTTTCATAGTTTTGTGAGTTTGACAGGAAATCTGGACCATTAAGATTTTAACAGTCATCAATCAGGTTGACATTAAGAAGTAATCTTTCGCATATAGTACAATGTGAAAATCCAAACCTTTAACATTTGGCAATTTTGTTGAGAGGAAGTCCCACAATTCTGGCTCAGAGGGTTGCCTGACTCTGTAGTCTTCTACATCATCAGTACTTTCACCTTCCTGCCTTCCCCTGCCTTTGAACAAATGGTGATGAATTTATAATGATAATGATTAATTTATACAGGACATTCTTCATATGAATATGCCATAATGTGCTTTACTGACAGTACTTCTTGGGGGACTCAAGCCAGACTGCATTGAGCAGTTAACAACTTTTGGAAAGGGAATTTGTTGGGAATTTTTTGAAAACAAGGCCAGACCACATCAGCAGGAACAAAGTTCGCTACTCTTTACGAGAAGAGCATTTAATTTAGTTCTTTAACATCCCTTACTGACCAGTACAAAGATGCAGGAGATGGGGCCTATGCATTTTGGTCCTAATCTGAGAAGACTTGAAGGTCTATATCCATTTACAGATTTCATAGCCAAGGCAGTACATTCTCCTCAGTTATTTTAAGACCCTGAGTGTTGGTCTGGTCTGGGGCTTGAACCCTCAACCTCTCACATGGCAGTCTGGCACTCTACCATGCAAGCTAACCAGGTGGTAGGGTAAAAAAACCTCATCTATCACTACTAGAAGACAACAACAACTTCCCTACATAGGGCTACCAACCAACAGAATCAACAAGTCATTGTGATAGTAAAAGCTTCAACAACCCCTTCCTAGCCACTTCATCTGCAACTCAGCCAAAAGTTAAGAAGAGTTGAGAACTTTTTTTCAGTTTGTGACAATAAAACACCCATACAACCTTAAAGAGATAATTCATCGCTCATCTTCCTTTCCTCCCTTTTATATCTGTTTGTATCTCCGTGTGTTTGTTTACTTTGTAAGTTGCATCCTACTTGGTGAGACTTATCTCTTGGTGTCTGAGAAAAAACGTCTTACCTGCTGGCTCTCGTTTTCCTCCACGGCCTCGTGGTCTTGTGCCACCTCTGTTTGTATCCTGCATTAGAAACAAAATATTTAATAAATAGAACTATAACCTTACATCAATTAAAATAAAATCACAGCAACTCAGTCAACCATCTGTCAGATTCAAAACTACTTTCTTTGAAACAACAACCAGAATGACCTGAAAAAAATCTCCTAAGATTCCAAACTTTTTTTTTTTTAATCAAACTCCTTTGTACATTGTACAAGTATTTTTGTCCAAAAGAGGGGTATCTCTAACTTCCCATAACTTAGTACTCAGCCTTATCACCAATTCTAATGTTGGGTAAGCAAGAAGAATGATTCTTGACAAACATCTGGTAATTTTCAAACAGGTCTACACAATCCTTTGACTTGCCTGTGGTCTTAGAGGCTGCCCTCTTGCAACTGCTCTTTCCATCCTCTCACTACGATCCATTCTGTTGTTTTGTCTGTCATCACTTCCTTGATTTCCTTCTCTGGCTCTCTCATTATTGTGTGGTTCTGAATTATGAGATCTCATATCTCTGTCTTTAGGATTACTTGAATTTGTTTTACCTTCAGATGCATATTTTTCATTTGTTTTTTCAGTGTTTGGCCTTTTGTTTTCTGCTCGATCATCCCTGGAGTTGTGTGCAAAGTTTTTTGCTGAACCTTCCCTTTGCTCTTGATTGACAGGCTTGTTATGTTGTCCAGGTTCTGATGTTTTGGATCTTGGTGGTAAACCAGAACCATCCTTGATTTGTGAACTTCTCGATTTCTCGTTGCTATTTTGTACCACACCATTTACTGCTACAACAAAAAAAAGCTAATCTTTACAACTCAAACTGTAATAACTTAAACATTTGTTCAATTCCTTTGGAATTTCAAGTAATGGAGAGTCATACAACACGTCCATAAAACATAGCATGATGCTAATTTGCCCTTTATCTCCCAGGATCTGGTTGTTAATTCTCCCCTCAAGCTGCCCAGTATTTCCCCGTTAATTAGCAATAAGAATTTTGTGTTAGATCAAAACAAAAACCTTCTTCTTGATGAATTTGAGTATTCTCATTACCTGTTTGCTGAATAATGTATGGATATTATAGGGAGAAGTTACATTTTGATCACTCAGGGATTTACGGGGTTATACAAAATGATAACCTCTGATTGTAAAAAGACAGTTGTTCATGCATAACAATTCCCTAGGCTAAATCACTCATAATCTTTACACACCCTGTGGTCCTTGGGAGTTTCAGTGTGATCTGTAACTATAACCAACCTTTGGTGTTCTCTGCTGATCTTCCTCTGTTCTCACTTCCTGGTTGGGTTCCTTGATCAAAGGGGACAAATGGAGGAGGCCCATCTCCACTTACAGTCATGCGAGAGTGCTTAGCCAAGGTCTGAAAGAGGAAAGAGTGACAAGAGTTCTTCAAAAACTGATTCACTGGGCTGTTTCATGGGAGCTACAAAGCACAAGAAATGTGTAAGACACATGAATAAATCTTTACTTTACTTTACATGTATCCTTTTTTGTCATTTGGCTCTGTGCTTTATTCTCTAAATGCTCCCATTCCCACATGGAATACAGTGTGTATACCCTACTTCCTGAATTCCAGTGACTAAAAGCAAATATTGATTAATTTGAATATGTCAACAAAGTTGAAATGGTAAATTGGCCACCATTATGATTATAAAAGCTGAAGTTTCGAGCATTAGCCCTTCATTGGAGCAAATGGGCTAACGAAGGGCTAACGACTAACGAATAACGAAGGGCTAATGAAGGGCTCCGACGAAGGGCTAACGCTTGAAACATCAGCTTTTATAATCATAACGGTGGCCAATTTACCATTTCAACTTTGTTGATATATTCAAATTATTTCGTTACCCCCACCGACGCAGCCCCAAACAGAAACTATCAGCCTTTATTCAAAAATATTGATTAAGCACAGTAGGAAAAGGAGAATCATCATGGCAATTTATGCCATTTTATAAATACTTGTGTTATTTGAAGATGCAACTTTGGTGTATATTTTTCTGGAAATGGTTGGTTTTTTTTCCCCATGTTAGCATGTGCAGCCAGCAAAGGACCTATCATTTAGTCAAACATTTATAAAATTCCCAAGAACATCACACTCTGCTGTTCTTCTGCTTGTTTACACCAGTCTCCTGTAACTGTTGGATATCACTCTTTTAAAAGTTTTCAACTTAAGATCAAAGAATCTTTACATTTTAAATTGAGGCAACCCACATTAAATCAACTCATTTTGAGAATGTTTGTTTCATATGGGAAATACCATTTCATCAGTATGTTATTACTTGTTTGGCCTGAAGTCTAGCTCTTTTTCAAAATTAAACATGTACACAGCTAAAGTTCTAACCTTATTTAGCTCCCACTTTTCCTTCAGTTTCTCCACCTCTCCTCCTAAGACCCTTGTGTTGTTAGCATTCAACATCAGAAAGCTCTCCTGGACAGTAATGGTGCCTGATAAGCACACCTTGGTCCCAGGGGGAACTGATAAGCTGTTTGGACAAAAGACAGAAAGTATAATCACGTCAAACAATCTCATTTGCAAACAAATTGAAAATCAATAATTGATAATATTAAGAATAATATATTGATAATAATGGTTAAATGAAAAAGTTTTTTCTTGGTGGCTCTTCACCAACTAATGATTATTTTCTGGTAATACTAACATAACATGTTTCATACCTAGACAGCAAAGTAAAAAAAAAAAAGAGAAAAAAAATTATTTTGATTTCTAGCGAAGTAAGATGTCTTGTTGGAAAAATAAAATTTCCCAAAAAGCCTTGGTAAAAGAGCCATAAGAAATTATTTTTCTCACATGATTTGGTAAGCTACTAACTAAAAACTATTTACAGCAATGCACTGAAAAGGACGATCATTAATCATTGGTTTTAAACTAACTGGGATCTGGCACAATGTCTCAACGAGACTGGAATGATATATTCTAGAACATTTTTGTCATGTGGGTCACACCTTCAAACATAAAACTTTCCGACAAAGCTGCTATCAGTGAGAAAAATTTCACTTTTCACAGGATGAAATATGTAACTACTTCCAAGGCTTTTGCTGGTCATAGCCCTTAACCCTAAATCTTCGATAATCTGTTTAAATCATCTACTCTCCCTTCATGCAGCCATACATTTCCCTGCAAATAAGCAGGGAGGATTTCATGGTTTCTAAAGGTAACATCCCCTAAGTGATTAGCTTATCTATTGTACTGATATTGTATTGATACTGTCCTGATATTGTAAGAAGAAGGTACATGACCATGTTTAAAACTTCTTCTAGCTTCAATTACGAAACAACTCTCTGCGTGTACCTGAAGTCAGGAATGGAAGCAATTTCTAATCCATAACAAGTCAAATGGCCATCTGTTAGCTGAACCTTCAAGAATCTTGGTGAATGGTTTGATTCTTCATTAGATTTTGGAGCAGAGACATTTCTTAGTTTTTGTACTTGCAGGACCATAGGTCCATTGACCTGTTGAAAATTCAAACAAAGTCTTACCCAATCCTTATAAAGTAGAGATGTAGACACCAAACCTTCCACCTGACTGCTTAGCAATCCTGTAAATTTGGTGTTGTATTAACCTTATAACACCAAGATCTGAGTGTAAATTCTCCCCTGTTTCTGCTAAACAATTTCTTGTAAATTAATTACAAGAATTTGGTATTGGATAAAGACAGTAACTTATACCTGAAAAGTTTGAGTATTCTTATTACCTGTTTGTTGGATAACATATAGTTATAATGAGGAGAAGTTAAATTTTAATCAACTCTGGGAGTTAAGGGGTCTAGAAATAATCTAATCAATAATTTTCCAAACTCTTCACACCCTGTTATTAGCATGCATATTCTCCACACTATTCTCAACAAGGAGAAAGTGTTTTAAGTCAAGAGCTCCTTCTGATCATTGTCTTTGTTCTAGTGAACTTATGATTGATTCACCAGTGCTAATAAAAAGAGAAATTAGATGCTACATGTAGTCACTCAGAGTTGAATCCTTTAACTCCCAGAAGTGATTAACTTGTAACTTCTCCCTAAAATATCCATACATTATCCAGTCAATGAGTAGTGAGAATACTCAAACTTATCAGTTAGAAGTTTTTACCTTGACTGAACACCAAATTCTCATAACCAGTTTATAAGGGAATGTGTAGCAGTTAGAGGGGAGAATTAACAATCAGATCTTGGGAGTTACAGGGTTAAGGGTTTATTCTCATTTTCCTAATTGGCAGTTTATCAAAGTCGAGGGGAGAATTCATATGCTGATCACTTCTACAAGTTAAAGTTAAAGTTATAAGCCCATGCCTACTGTATTTCTCCCTACTTGATAGGAAGAATTGAATCTGAGCCACAAGTAGAAAGCAAATGCTATTGACATTGCTCAGCCTTTGGCCCCCAAAACCAGTGGTGATGTGACCAAACAGAGCAAAGAGTTGACCAAAAGCTCCCCAAAATTACAGGCTCCTCATCTGTAGCTTTTAATTAATGCTTCAATCTGAAACTATTTTGGTTTATGTTATTGTAAAATAAACTTACTGATTGCACTTTTCCTCTGTTAATGTCATCAGGAAGATGTTTCACTCCATATTGTTTCAAGTCCAGCTAAAGTGGAAAAATAAACTGATTGATTAATGTAAAGAATGGCAGATTTGTTATTTAATTGGCAGAATCTTTTCACTCTAAAATCTTAATATCAATTCTCTGCAAAATGTGCAATACTTTTCTTATGACTTAAGCTCTGAGAATTTGAATTTTGATCAAACCATATCCCTCCTTGATGCTTTTCCTGTTTTCTCATTACCTACCTGCTTGAAAATCTAATAACGTTGTTGGGAGAAATTCCTTTTGGGTCACTCATGGGAGTCAAAAGATGATATAGTACCTTGTTGACTCTCTAATTAAAACCAAATCAACATCTTACTAATTCATACCACCAAGTAGAAGAAAAAGACCACAGTGATGAAATTGATAACAAAATATAACACAAAATAGTGTAGTCAGAGATTTTATCAAGCATGGAGTTGAGAATTAAATATTTTTCATTCCAGGAGGCAAGTTTCTCCACTGTATTGGGTGAAGCTTTTAGCAAATCTAGAATAATTTCATATTTAATTTCATAAATATGGACACCCTACATGCAAACAAGATATCATTACAGCTGTACTTCAATGAAGGCAGTTACATCCAATGTTCAGGTAGAGATGTATGAGAGAATTGAATGTTTTCATATGTACAAGACAAAGAAAGTAAATAATTATTGATATTCCAAACTAACATGGAAACAATTCAGTGGAATACATGATGTTCTAGATTTGTGGATACTACGTACATTAGTGATTTAAGTTATTACAAATTATTCGAGACCAAAGGATGGTAACTTTAGAATCATTGTACAAGTAAGAAATTCTAACATCCATTCACTGCACTTTTCTCCATGGGCATCGATTGGCCATATTCGAGAAAAATTAAAACCAAAGATTTAAAGCGCGGCTTTCACAGTTGTGCGTGGTGAAAAAAACAATCTAGGCAAAAATGAGATACGCTTCATCAGAAAATCAATTGAAACAAACCAAAATATTTAGTTGGATGTCCCGTCACAAGCCGATTCATGAGAGCATTAAACTTTAAAATGTTCATATTTAATGAGCAGTGGCTAAAATCCTCTGTGACAAGTAAACTCCGTCTAGCACCATTAAAACACTGCATTAATACAGCAAGGAGGCAGCCAGTTTTAAGAGCAATCTTATAACGAAGCAATAACAAGATCAGTAGCTTCATCTATATTTCCGTCGACGTATTTTGGGCTTCCAATACTCACATTACGGGCTGCCTTTAAGAGTTCCTGGAAAGATGGCTTCTCTTTGTTACAAACCCTTTCACACTCTGCAATCCCTTCGGAGGAGAGAAACCTGGAAGGCGAAATAATCGTTTCATCGAAAGAAACAACAACAGCTTTCAAGACGATCTGCGCAGCAGATCTGGTTGTGTTGAGCGTGAGGCGCACACGAAAAAACCGCAACTTCTCTATTTTCTCGCTTAAATGAGCATAAAAAAAAACAAGCGCACAAGGCAAAAAGCTAAGCGCAAAGCTGCGTGTTTGCGAGCAAAAATAGATATGGCAGGATAATGGATATTCAACAATTTAACATAAGGCCCACCATCCATATTCTTTCAACTTTGCCTCCATGCCACGACGAAATTCTTCCACAAGAAGGCTGTTAGTCAGAAACCGCTGTACGAATGTAGTGCGACCGCTTTCCCAGATCCTGCCCCCCCTGAGAGAAGTCTGGGCTCCAGAAAAACTCTGCCCTTTGTTGGCAGTTACTATGGAAACTTGACGTATCGTTACCAAAGAAGACGGTTCGAAAAGGAACATGGCGTCCACGAAGCCTCATCGTAGGAGATCTACGGGGAGCGAATGTCGTGATAAAACCGACGACCGTCTCAGAAAGGAGCATTTTTTGCTTCCTAATTCTGATCAGATAGATTTGAATCTCCTTCTTCAAGCCGTTCTCGATATAAACGAGAAATTGAATGAAAAACCAACCGAGAGATCAAAATTAGAGGAAAGCCGCGGAGGTCCGACTTCGAAAAATGATCTGGAAAGTATTCAAAAGGACAGAGACTTCGACGACACTGCTTCAAGACATTCCTCGGTGTCCTCAGTGTCAAGACATTCCTCGGTGTCCTCAGCGTCTAGATCGAGGCCAAAGAGTGCTGTACAACTCAACGAATCCCGCCGCCCTCGGCCTCCAGATCGTAAAAACATGTCTTTTAGCAATACCACAGTGGATGCTATTGATCGAGAAAATCAGAGACTTTTAAGAGAAATTACAAGAACTAGAGGTAGACCGAAGTCTGCTCAACCAAGGAAACTCGTTTCAGAACCGTTACGGGTACAAACCTCGTCTGAGGTCAACAGATACAGGTTCCAAAGAAAAGTTGATATGGAAAATCAGGTTAGTTGGACAAGGAGTGTTTGTAGTATTGGTTCATTGATGTTATCACACTTGACAAATCTTACAAGTTAAAAAAAGAGTAAAACGAAACTCTGAACAGACAAAATTTACACACTTAATTTATTGTTTGTACTTCACTTTTCTCGATTACTCTCTTCTTTCCTCTAGCCAAATAGTTCTTTTATGATATTTGACAACGATAATGTTTGAAAACTATATGCTTTGCGTGATGAATTAATTATGCAAGACTGACGCATGTTTCACCACTCGTTGTGTACACAAAAATACGCCTAGATATCTCATTCTACCACTAAATTAAAACCTGTAGAATGTTAGATGGGCGAGTTATTTCTCTGCCTTGCTCAGTTTTTTATGAAAACTGCAATTGTCAGAGTTAAGAATTTTTCGCAATGTAAACGATTCACTAGAAGCATAAACAACGAACAACGAAATATGGATTGCCTCTGTTGATTTGTTTGCTTTTTCATTCTGATGAACACTTTTAAATAATGGTTGGCAACGGTCTGTACTGGCTTTTGTTCCATCAAAACGACATGTGTGCCAACTTCCTTGGAAAAATCAAAATTCTTAAAGATACTGAATAAATATCCCATTCACCAAACATAAAGTTTATGAAATCCTTATGAAAAAAAAAACTTTTGATAATTTTTTCTGTACAAGGGGAAAATCAAGAAAATTCTAAATGACAAGTGAATGATGGTTGAATATTTTAACATTTTTCTTTTGATTGTGAATCACCATGATGATGATCTATTACATTAGTGCCCCCTTTGAATCACCATCTCTCTAATTGGCCAAAACATAAAAAAAAATAAGTACTCCACCTGCATAAGAAATTATTAATGAAAATTAATTATTATTAAGTGGGTTCCCCCCCTTGCTCAAATATTTGAAATATGTTGGAATAAGCACTAAAGGCATTAGTTCAAGGTGTTGCATGACTTTTGATCAAAGGGGAGAGACTGGAACATAGCAGTCCACTGACAACTTTTAGAGCAGGGAAGGTGCTTCCAAGTCTAAGGTCTTTGAATTTCAGGTTTTGAGAGTTTGGTGCTCCTTGATGGGGAGTTAAACCTTAATATGAAGGCCTCACAGGAATATGTAGCATCAAAGGATGTGAATTTCAGGTCTTATATCAGTCATGAATTTCATTTCAACATTTTTCTCAGAGGTCTGCTTAAAATCCAGAACATTTTTACTCAAAGCCAGTAAAATTTATCCACTTTGGACTTTGTTTAACTTAATAACCTATCAATGTTGATTTGAAAATATGATTAAGTAAACTCTGAATCTTAAACTACCTCAGTTCATGTTAACCTTTTTAACTCCCAAGAACTGATTGTTAATTCTCTCCTCTAGAGGCTACACATTTGTTTCTGAATGAGTTATAAGAAGTTTGTGGCAGATCAAGATGACAACTTAAATGTGATAAATATTTTATTCTCTTGACCTGTTTGATGGCAACCTTGTTCCTAGGATCTCTCATCTTCCCGCTCCCCAGAGAGAGACCCTGGGAATGAGGTTGGTTTGATGGATAATATATGGATATTACAGGGAGAAGTTACTTGTGAATCACCTCTGGGAGTTACAGGGTTGAATCATTTTCATACTTACCCAGTTTTGAATGTGTTTTGTTTTGTTTTGTTTTTTTTTTTCAGAAATTACTTGAAAGGCTTCAGACAGTCAAACCAACACGGACATTATCACGGGACTCATTATTCAAAGATCATATTAAGCAGAAACAATATTCAAAAACAGCCTCAAGAAGCCGACCAAGCAGTGCAAAAAGCACAACAGGAAGTGTTTCCCACCTGTCACGTTCTTCCAGTGAGTCCAGTTTAATGATTGGTGATTCTGTAAGTGTAGCGAGCTCAAGGATTTCTAGTAATTCACATCGATCTGCGCAGAGAAGAGCCATGTCTAAACCTGTATGGGAATCTGGATGGTGATATTCAATATTTACCTGTGCTGCATTTAAACTGAATCATGTGATCCGTTTTGAAACCCCTTTCTAAAAAGTTTTGTGGTATCTTGAATTTCAGATCTAAATATATGTAAGAAGGGAAATATAAGCTACATGTTTATTCATTTTTCAGAGCTTATGAGTGATTATTATTTGATGTTGTCAAGAAAAGCCTTGCTAAGAGCAGTTAAAAGTTAATTTCTTTCCCTAAAGGGCCAGAATTTGTCATGTAACCATAAACTCGATGACCAGCCATTACTTAGTGGGCATTTTTTTTAATTATATCATCACACACAATAAGGGAATGGTTAAAAACTTTGAACTGTTTGAATTAAATTGACCTGCATGTGTTATCATGTTACATCATGTTAAGGAACTATTTGTACTTGGAATCTAAATTATGAATGACACAAAAATTCACCTTACTTAGCTTGACATATTCTTTGTAAGTTTCTTACCCTTTCAAGTCAGCAGAAGCTGGGTAGGGAAAAAAATTTGAAGTTGATTATGGCAAAGCCTGTAAGTTGACAAATTTGTAGTTGTTTGTTAAGAATATACAAGGGAGTTGATAATATAACAATGTTGGAAGAAATGGCTTGAGTCCTCTCACAAGTGCATATGAAGTGCTTTCATTAATCATGTATTTGACAGTGAATTCTTGTCACCAAACTCCTGTCTTTTTTCCTTTGTCCTTTTCCTTACTTTTGGTCAAACATTTTGACTCTAAAAGACAAACCTCTCTTGTGTTTCAAAAATGAAAATCTTAGACTTGAAGAGAAGAGAATAATATACACCATCAGAACAATCCCCTTTCCATTTGAACAATTAGGCTCAAACCTTTTGAAGTCATTTGTTGATTCTGAAGGGTTTGGCAAGATATACTTGCCCATTATGGGTTATGTGAAATAAGGAATAGAAAAGAACTTGCAGTTAATGGGAATTGGGCTGCTTTTCAAGCAGTTTTTGATTGATAAACATTTATCAGAGACTGGTGTATTACACTTGTTACTCCTAAAAGATGCCAACTTGAGTTAAAGGATGGCTTTTCACTTGTTGTTTAGAGAAAGGTGAAAATATTTGGCCTTTTCCAATTGAAAAAGATTGACTTAGATCCTTGAAGCGATTAGAAAGAGTATCAACCCCAAACGGACTCCTGGATCCCTTAGTAGGCAGAGCAGCTCCCCTAATCGTACCGCCCTTTTGGCGGTAATCACCCCTCGTACGAAATAGATTGGACTTCTTCAACAACGAATCTTCCCGAAGCCGAACACGAAATGCTCGATTATTGGAAACTGTAAAAAAGGGAAGTAGAGCGGTATGGGGTTGTACAACGCTATTCTTTGCAATCCGTTATTCTGACTCTATTGGTAATGAACTGAGTGCAACAGTTAAATCGAGTGTCGATGATCTTAGAGAGTTTCGCAACGAGAACTTTGCCCACTTACCTGGGGCCAGTCGTCTGAATTAGAGTTTAAACTTGCTATTAGTAAGGTAAAGATTGCATTTACGTTACTTGGTCTCTCTACTACACAAGTCCAGGAAATCAGTAAACAGAGAAGTTTTCAGACAGAAGAAGTTGAAAACCTTATATTAAGTGGAAATGTGCGGACCTTCAAAAAGAACTCGAAGAAACCAAAGTCGAATTAGAGACGGCAAAAAAACAGCGTCAGTTGGTTGAAGAACAACTGGAATCATCAGAGAAACAGCACCACATAGTTGAAGAACAACTGGAAATTTCAGAAGAACGGCGAGAGGTCCTTGAAGTTCAGCTAAAAGATAATATTTCCTCCTTTTGCATTCTTCCTCCTAAACCATCCCACGAAATTGCCACTCGTGATGATGAGGTTGCTGAAGTAATAGAAGACCTGGATCAACTAAAGAGAGCAAACGAGAATCGTCTAAACTACTTATACATCACTGGTAATCCTGGAAGTTGCAAATCTCAGCTCGCTGGTCTAGTAGCCGAGAAATTCTACAAGAAAGTAAACTCAGAAACAAGCCCCTCATTTGTGATGACTTTGAACGCTGAAAACTTAGAGACACTTCTGGAATCGTACGTTACACTTGTAAGACAGGTCAAACGTCCTGACTACGACGTTATGGACGTTTGACCTGTCTTACATGAGGTCCAAGGAGTCGACTATTGAAGAAAAAATAAAGAATTTTGAAGATTTAATTGCAACAAAAATTCACCTCTATTCATCGTGGCTTATGGTGGTAGACAACGTGACAAGTGTCTCTGGTATACTTCATTTCCTTCCTCAATCAGGAAAATAAACTATGGAACCATGGGCAGTTACTCATCACGACACAGGATACCTTGTCTATCCCTGCTACGTGTTCGTTTATTTCTCACTTTTCCATCGATCAGTCAAGGTATGAGGCAAATCGAAGCACGGCGTTTTCTGGCCAATATTGCAGGTTTTGCAGATCAAGAAATGGAAGATGAAGTTGCGAAAAAACTTAGATCACCAACCACTTGCTTTGGCTAGCGCAGGCACTTATGTCAGAAAGACCCGTGAGTGTAATTGGGCGGCGACATTTGGCTGGAAGGAGTATTTAAAAAAGCTAAAAAAAGGAATGCGAGCCCTAACTGAGGAGATACTAGCAAAGACCAACCCTGCGTACAGCAAATCCATGACGGTAGCAACACGGCTGGCCGTTGAAAGAGCGATAGATAGCGACAGTATAGTGACGCATTCGTTTACCCTCCTTTCCCTTTGCGCTCCTCAAGCATTACACCTGGACATCCTTACGAATTACACTCTGAATGCAGATGAGCATGTTGACAAAGACGCTATTGTCATTCAGATCAAAGGCTACTCACTGTTGTTGTTCGAAGAAAGAGAGAATGGAGTTTTCATCTGTATGCACCGAATTGTGTGGGATGCCATTACATCTGCAAGCAGTAACGAGGAGCCTCAAGGATACGCTCAAATAATTCACGCTGCTGTGAAATCATTCAACGAGTTCGTAGGAATACAGCCATTAAACGATTGGTATGACATCGACTCTATTGCTAACACCAAGCACCTCATTGAACACTTTAAAGCTTTGACCAAAAAGGTTGAACATGTTTTTGCTTTTGAAGAGGAATGTCGAGTTTTCAGAGAAGGCGTTTTAAGTGTTTTAGATTGGTCATCATGTTTCCACCGGTTCGGCATAATTTGCGAGAATCACTGCGAATTATCTTTTGCTGAGTATTACTACCACACAGCTTTGAAACTCGTTAAACCATTCAGTGACACTGTTGCAAGTTGTGCAAGCATTTATAAAAGATTAGATAATTTGCAACGGTCCATGGGTGACCTGAAGAAAGCCGTAGAATATCTTGAACTTTCCATAACCATTTACGCGGAAAAACTTGGACCCATGAATGTTAATGTTGCGAGTAGTCATCATATCCTGGGAATTACACTACTTGAATTGGTTGACTTGAAACAGCCAGTGAGCACTTTCAACTTGCTCTAAAACTTTACAAGAAAACGTATGGAACTGATCATGTTGATGTCGCGTACATTTCTTACAACTTGGGTATTGCACAGCATAAAATGGGTAATCTAGAGCAGGCTTCGATACATTCTCATAATGCTGTCGTAATTTACGAGAAGATTTGTGGACCTGACCATGTTGATGTCGCACATGCGCACCTAAACCTAGGTTTTGTACAGCGTGAGTTGGGTAACCAGCAACAGGCCAAGAAGTCTCTCGATCGTGCTCTTGACATTTTCAAGGAAGAGTTTGGAAGTAAGCATGCCAATGTCGCACAGACTTACCTTAGCCTAGGTATTGTACAGCGTGAGTTTGGTAACCTGCAAGAGGCCAAGGAGCTTCTTGATCGCGCTCTCGAAATTTTTATTACAGAGCCTGGAAGTGAGCATGCCGATGTCGCACAGACTTTCCTAAGCTTAGGTATTGTACAGCGTGAGTTTGGTAACCTACAAGAGGNTTCAAGTGCAAAAAGCAATCACTGAAAAAAATCAAGGGGTCACCGGGTTAGTTTTCGAATTATTTAAGCCACAAGCTAAAAAGTGCGTCTGAATAAGCCTATGAAAGCGTTGCCATGGAAACTGCTAGTGATGAAATGACACTTATTTTTGGTTAACCAATGATTGTGTAATTCAACCCCGTAAAAGTGTTCAACTGGCCTTGGTCAGTCTTTCTGTTGTATTCTTTCAAAGTTACAAACCATCAAAAAGATGAAAACCGGTACGAGCCACCTTAAACAAGCCAAAACAATTATGAACGTGCCCTAAGAATTTACAAGAGAAGGCTTGGAACCGACCATGGTGATGTTGCGCGTACCTGCCAAAACCTTGGCGAAGTACAATATGAGTTAGGTGAACTGCAAGAAGCCAAAGAACATTATAAACGTGCTCTTAGCATTTACGAAAAAAGGCAGGGATCTGAGCATATTGATGTTGCGATCACTCACCAAAATTAGGCAAAATAGAGTATAAATTTGGTGACCTTCAGCAAGCCAGCGGGCATTTTGAACGTGCGTCAGACATTTACACGAATAAGCTAGGACAACACTGCGTGGAGGTAGCGTCTAGTTACAGTAACTTGGGTGATGTATGCCGTACCAAGAATGATTTGAAACAGGCCAAAGAGCTGTATGAACGTGCCTTAGAGATTACGCTTAAAGAGAATGAACCAGAGGATGTTGAAGTTGCGCGCGCACGTATGACAACTTACTTGGGCAGTATTCATTTTGACGTTGGTAACCTAGATCAGGCTTACGTCGTTTATGAACGAGCTCTAAGGAAAAGACGCTTGGACGCGAGCATGCAGAAACTGCGAGTAGTTACAATAACTTGGATCTTGTTCTGCAATTTTTGGAGACAAAAAAAAAGTGCTCTGTGCAGTAGGACCAGTGGACCCGACCGCGCTAAAAATAACTACACGTATATTATCTGAGTAAAACATTGAGTAACTTGAGAGATCTTCGGCTAACTAACGATTTTTACATAAAGCCACCGTTTAGAATTGAATTGAAAAACTTTTGACCTGTGCATGTTAATATGTATTTAATATCCTGATTAGTTTCCGCGGTTGATGTACAGCGTGACCTGGGTGCAATAGGCCAATGGTATTTGAATGTGCCCTGGACCTAAGATTAAAAAACCTTTAGATTGAGTCGGGAATTTTGATATTCGTCGTACTCACAATTGAGTAATCAGGTCTCATGAACGAACCGCTTTTTCAGTTATCTGCAGCACGTTGCGAACCCAATATGTTTTTTTTTAAGTGAGACTTTTCTCTACGACATAACTTTTAAAGTGATCGAGTCGATATCAGTATCCATTCCTTCTCTGCAAGGAAAAAGGATTAATAAATTAATAATGAAGTAACAACAATAAAATTTAGCCAGTATGTGAGCAGGCTCACAATTGTACATGACGTTGCGATATTTTCGTCATAGTTTTAGAATTATATCTGCAGAAACTATTTCCTGTGACAATCAAATCATCCTACACAGGATTTGCATCATAAATTTCCTTTAGGTCACACTATCACACCTAACTTCAAAATCATAAGAATTTCCTGCTATCGTTCAATTCTTTATAAAAGAAGTACAGTTAGTTAGTTTAATTCAGTAGCACACTGTCAAGACCAGCACTTCCAAGCTCAGGACCTCTTGTTCACAAAAAGTAACTCCAGTGTAACCCCAAGTTAGTGACCTATTTTACGGAGGATTTGATTGCAATCACCCTTTTTTCTCTTTGTGTACTTTCCTGTATAAATAAATTTTATTGTGGCTATAAGTCTGTTTCGTTGTTCAAATAACAACATCAGAACCGGCCTAGGTCACGGGTGGACTAATTTAATTCAGAGAAATAAAATTTTTTCGAAATAGTTTGTGATGGAATGTAAGTTTAATTTTAATTTAATTTACTCCATTTTCACTGCATTAATTTTTGCAGTAGGGAAGGACTAGAAAGGAACATACGAACCATTCGTGCTAGTCCACCCTCCCACCCATCCTACCTCAGGGGAGGACATCCATCACACAGTAATCACGTGTGTGGGAAATTAATGTCTCCTAACCCAACCTTGCAGGAGACCGGACCTCCATTTATTAGTCCCTATCCGAGAAGACTAGAATATCTAACCATTTC